TTTTTTTTATCTGTTAATGTTTGTTGTTAAAAACAGATGTTCATTGTTTGTTCATGTTAGTTTACAGTGCATTAACTAATGTTTACCGATCCAACTTTTAATTTAAAATTGTATTAGTAAATGTTGAACTTAACATGCACTAAGATGAATAGTGTAGAAATATTGTTCATGGTTAGTTTATGTTAATATAGGTAACTAATGAAACCTTATTGTAAAGTTTTACCATAGAAGCTTATTTAATGACAAACAGACAACACCTGTAGAATTTGAATGATTCATTTAATTTTTCAAGTGTGATGAGGCATTTGCATACAATCGGGTTCACTAAAATTTTAAATAAATTAAAATCGCCATTTCAAAATAACCTTTATGAAATGTTTAAGTATATGAGATATATTGCATCATCTTGCAGGTCATTTTGTGTCTGACCACTTCTGCTCGCCTTTGCCCTTTGAGTCTAAAATTAAACGCAATGGCTTCCGTCTGAAATAAGCCCACCCCCTCTTACTATAAAAGTACATCTCAAAATAGAGCATTTAAATCTTCCTTACATGGTTAAATATCAGCTAACGACACTATAATGTGAAATCTACTTTATTCTGCCTTACCTATGTGAAACCTCATGTGAAAGTGTCTCAGTAATACTGATTTAATTTGACACGATGGATTTTAATGTGAAGCCATAATGCAGATCTGAACGCGAGCACTAGCACATTGAGTGCTTTGATGGAATGCACTGCTAGAAACAACAACCCCCATCATGTGCTCGAGCGGCGAAACAGCTGCTGACGAAGCAGCCTTACCAGCCAGACTGTCCTTATATGGCTGGTGACGTCATATCTGGGCGGACCTAACCTCTCAACTGAATTCTCATTGGCTGCTTATTGCTAGCCAAGTGAAGGACCAATGAAAACACAGCATGAAATCATCTGACCTCCACAAGACTTCCTGCTTCCGCTTCCTGTAGTTCCAAGAAGCTTTTATGTAATGCAGCAACTAATACAAGCTATGCAGCACAAAGCAAGAGCCATTTTGTGACTTTGAGGGCTTTCAGCCATTTAATGAAACCAGTCTCATACTGTGATGAAACAAAGCAGTGCTTTTTATGTGGCGCTTAGCCATATGAACACCTCAAATAAAGTATATTGACTATAATATAGGAAAAAATATCACAATTGGCATCCTTTTCACCTCTTGCTTCTTTAGCAATATTTAGAAAATGGCTGCCACAGCTAAACAACAGTGAAGACATGTTATTGAGGATAATGACTTGATTTAGGCTCTCACGAGCATCTTTAACACAAATGAAATTATTTGTAACCTGTAAAAGTTAGCATATATGTTCATTTGTAAATTCATGATCACATATACAATATTACATGAAACTGCTGTGTGTAATTGTAAAAAGATAACATACATTTGAGAGGGGTTTTCGATTTAGACACTGGTGTCTGGAACATATGCAGGGGCTTCAAAGCTGTCTCATCAATTCAGAGGGAAATTCTTGACACACAACCACGAAAATAATGACAGACCCGGTCATAAACACTAAACACAACATCAACACATCCTGTGCTATTGTTTTGTTTTTTTAAGGCTGATATGATGACCACTTTTTAACAGGGTAAAAGCCCCACTGATGATGTCCTATGTTGGTAAAAGTGAAAATATATAGGCTACTTTAAAACTACATTAAAGCTGTGTGTTATACATTACATTAATACCGGTGTTCAATAGTATACTTTTAATGATAATTGCTATTATAGCAATGTGAAAGTCAAATATTGATTGTAATGTATTCACATTTTGTGAGGCTTTGAAACTGAATAGTGATCATTAAATCTTCCATGTTGTGTTCAAGTTTTTTCCTTGATATTTCCCTGGATAAATAAACCATGAACCTTTGAAAAATGTCTTTTCAATGTCCCCCAATCATTTTGTAATATTGTAAGGAATTGTTAGCCTAAATTAATAATGCATATGTAAACATTAGGTACACTTTTGTAAAAAGACAAATTACTGTGTTTATATGAACCCAATAACATTTACAACTTATTAGTTCCAGTTTTCATATGGAAATAAAAGTAACTTGTAAAGAGTGAAGTAAAATAACCATAATAATTTGCTTTGCATTTTTCAATCAGGATAAGACATCCTTGGTTTGTTGGATAGATGTTATAATGGAACTAGTGCTGTCAAATCGACTAATCGCATCTAACATTAAAGTTTCTGTTTACATAATATACGTGTGTGTGTGTGTGTGTGTGTGTGTGTATGTATAATATATATATATATATATGTATGTATATATACACACACATATATACACACACACGTAAACAAAAAACTTATTTTAGATGTGATTAATCGATTTGACAGCACTAAATGGAACATATGGAAAACACAAATTTTGGTCAGCAAACCTAAAACAAATAAAATTTTATATAAAATATAAAAATAAATTGAATGAGCTCCAATACAACTGTAAATTATTTCAAGAAGTGTGAGTTTTGAAATACATAATTGAGTGCTGAGCTAATACTGTATTAATATTTACATAAGGTAATACACCCCATGTCATTAGGAAATTATAAATGTTTGTCAAACAATTAAGACCCTTAAAGCATAGGACACAGATTTTAATTCACACGTGTGACCCCCAAATACTCCTTTAGGATCAGACACCACTGTATTCACCACTATTTTCTTTAATAAAACATTTAAACACATTAAAGTGATTATAACTTTCTGTATTAAGCAACAGCTTGTCAGCACAAAAAAACAATTGTACATTAAATAAACAAAAGCAATAGTTTTGTTGCTATTAATAATGAAACAAAGAAAATAATTCAAATTATGAACATACAAATGTAAAATAATACTCTTCCCTTTGAACAAAATTAAATTGCTTTAAACAATTTATTTGTGTGAAATTAATTTCATTAAAATATTTCAGGAAATCCGATTGAACAGGTTCTGCATACAATAACTGCAACATCAATTTGCATCTATCAAATGCTAAACTGCCATGTAATGTTAAAGTAAAAGTGTTTAAAATGTCATTAACCTTACATAGTGGTGCAATGCAGCACGTACTACAAATCAGACAAGGTGATTTAACAATATCACTTTAAAAGTAAAAACATTATAACCGTAATCACTGCTCAAAACTGTACAAAACACTGCATCTTGAGTATAAATTTTGCTAAAGGCCCATAGGCCTTGAATTCACTTTTAGAAATACTAGCAAAATCAGGGTGTGGCTATACATCTATCCCAAGGTCAATGATATGAAACACATTTAAATTTACATACATTGTGGTTTAAACTTCTGCACAGGTGATCAACCATGCTTGTAAAGGTAAACAATCAAGACATGTTAAAAAAAGAGAGGAAAAATATGAAAGATCATACCTGGAAGCATTGCTTTGAGTTGAGCCTTCATCCTGCTTTTTACTCTTATTCTTCATCATGATTTTGTCTTGGGATTTGTTAATGATGATCTTTTGTCCAGGTATTAACTGTCAAAAGTTTAAAGCTGGATGAACCATCAAACGAAAAAAAAAGTCCGTTGCGATGCATGGATAAAGTTGGACTCGGGAAATTTAAAATAAATACATATTTATAGTATTTCTAAAGTTAAAAGGCATCGGAATTGAAATGACACCTGCTCGACTCTATTCGATGTCAAATATACATGTGTTGATGGCATTTCAAGGCAATACATTCACAGAGCCACATGCATAAATTCTTACTGCGTCATCAGACAAAGGACGATTAAAACATAACGATGAAAGCAAATAAATTCAACAATAGAAAAGAAACGATGTAAACATACCTATTGCATTGACAGGAGGAGGATTGTAGTAGTACATTCACATCTGACAAAATATCCGATTTGTTACTTCGGCCATAACAATAAAAAAAATCAAAAAGAGTCCAGGATTGAGATTAAAATAATCGGAAAGATATTCGAAAAGAAAAATAATAGCAGTAATCCACCGATGGCTATTTGAATGGAGAGAGAGAGAGGGAGAGAGAGAGTATGAGAAGAGCCCAGCAGAGCGCACTAAAAATGGAGGACCGCCATGGCTGCCAGTGCAAGGCAGGGAAAACAACGACTGGCCACTCTACGCACACACCACAGCGTTTTTCGACGAAACAAAGTCACAAAACGTACGCCTTAACGTCTCTAAGGTCCAAAACGTACTAAAACGAAGGAATTCGCGCGATTACGGTGCCCCTAGAGGCACTCAAAGTTCACCAAAGTTGAGATACAAGTGCTATCGAGAGCCCTACGAGGCTCAACGCTCTCCCCTTCCCAAGGTTCATCCGCCATCTAAAGCTCCTTCCCAGCTCTGAGAGCTTAGCCTTTGATTGACGTTCTCTCCATTTACACAGGGCTCAGGTGATGCACGAAAGACCCACCCCTTTTTATTTTAAATAAAAACTATCTGTTTTACAGATTAATTAAAGCCTCAAGTTAGTGCTAACCTATAAGTACAGTAGTGGAACAACTGATCATCAGTGATTACAAAAGGGCAGGACTTATCTTTATGTTAATACATTTATTTCTGTAAGGCTTCACTTCCTGCATAGACAGGAAATGAGACAAGAGACTGCCATTTTGCAGTGAGTGCTGGACTACACTGGACACCATTTTAGACAATTTCATTTTAACCCTTTTACACCTGCTCTGTATTTGTGATGTACTTTGCAAAAGTGATATTTGAAAGAGGACGGTTGCGTGAATCAAGCTCGCAGGCTGGCAAGTGCGTGATTTTAATTTAACAGGAAATTTGAGGGTGTATCCTTGAATGGAATAGATAAAGCTTGAAAATAATTTGCGAAAGTTAATTATGGATTGGAACTAAATTAATGTAGCAAAAATTTTAAAAAGCCATTGAGGGCAGTTAAAGACATAACTAACTCTTTAAAATTTGAAAAGATCACCTAGCTTGTTAGTAAACAAATTATAGTTCGTAAGTAAATAACATTTCTTTTCTTTTTTTAAGAAAAGTTGAACCTGGAAAAGCTGTGTTGGACGCTTGGACGTAAACCGCAAAACAAATATTTTGTGAAACGTCATTCTTATTTTCCATCCAATAAGAGCAACTCGATATTGTTCAATAACGAAACTTCTTTATTTATATTTTAAAAAAAGGCACAAAAAAAAGCATGATTAAATTTTGAAATACAAGCATTTCATCAAAACAATAATGCAGTAAAATGACATACATACATTTGTTAAGCACATTTGCGAATTAATTAAAACACAGCAAATCACAAACAAATAAAATGTCTCTTTCTTTCCAAATCCAAAAGCAAAATATGAGCCGCCATCTTCATTAAGCTGTAGTCTCCACTTGACTGTCCAGAATTGGTTCTTAATGAAATCAAAAAGGGAAAACATGTAAACCCCAAATGTTTTTTTAAAGATGCGATGACAGCTTTTCATAAAAACGGTAACGTACAGCTATGGTGTAGCTACGAACATGAAATCAGAATCCTGTTTTAAATGGTTCTCTAACTAGCGACAATGGTCAATCTCACAAGGTAGCTTCATATGGTCAATTAGGACAACCTCCACATGAACATGCACAACTTGTCCATATAATAATAGTAGCATAATAACAGCAAAATGCATTGTTATTCATATATTGATGATAAAATGCTAACAGAAGACTGCTATGTAGTTGCCGCATATGCATGATTTCGTTATATTCACCTACAAATGTAAGTGCAAGAAACTATTTCACACAAAACTCGGCAAGCGTTAATCACAAGAACACAACAAAAACCTTTACTTTCAACTACCAGAAAATCTATAGTACCTGGATTTGGTTCACTTATTAGTTTACCAATTACATTGATACTCAGAAAGTAGCTTTACGATAGACCAACAGTTTAAAAATCACAACATATATTACACAACATATGTCTGTCATTAGCAATCATTTCTGTGGATGTGCTTCATAAAAGGTAAATTTCTTCCAATAATCATGTTTTTGTTTAATAATGACCATTAACGTTAATGATACAAGAACAAAGTTGTATCCAAGTGAGCCTACAAAGCTGAAAACTATTGAAATGAATAGGTGAAAAACATGTGTGTTTGTCTTTACTATGTGATTATTACAAGGTGTAACTTTGGCCAAAAGTAAGTGTATTAGAGGGAGTAATCAAACTGTAAAGTTGTTGCAATTCAGTCATTCAGGATGTTTAGGCTGCGGAGATGTTTTTTCTAGGATAAATTAATTTAAATAAAATAAACTATGAAAAGTGTGGCTTAACCACCAAAATGAGAAGCGACACTGCAAATTGTCTGTTCACAACAAACAGTGAATTTTTTTCATACTGATGTGTATAAGTCGAAATAAGAGAATTTTAACAAAAAGGACACGAGTTGTCCCAATTGTTATAAAGAAAGAAAATTCTCAATTTAAAAAAAAAGAGAAGGTATGAAGTACATTTAATAAAAGTCGGGCTTCAGAAAAATGAAAAAGATTTGTAGTCACAGCTTCCTTCTCAACGGACGTATGGCATTTGCTTACTGAAAATGTCAGTAGCCTTATCCAGAAGTTGAGGACATTTTCCTTTGAAAACTATTAAATTAAATTAAATGGTGATTTAATGTAAAGGACATGGGCCAATGCACACTTATTTAATGTGCAATAATACATTTTTAGTCTGTCCTGTCTGGATACCCATCCCAAAATCAAAAGCAGAAAATGTTTTATCCATCCATTACTCTAAATGTCACAAGTAAAATGGAAATGTTGTAGTGTATTCCAGTATTTATGTGGCACAAGTGCAAGTGTGCAACAGCCAGTGAAAAAGGAGGCCAAATGTAGAACAGAATTAAGAAAGATGTGTAAAACAAGTTACACAAAAGCAGAATAGACTCCACAAGAAAAGAGTCACGCTAAATGGAAAAACAAAGATGTGCATAAATTCTAAAAATGTGAATAAAAACTTGGGCGCTAATTTGAGGATTTTTTTTTTATCCGGTAAGACGACATGCGCATTAACTTCAATGGAAACATATTTAACAAATAAATCCCTCTATGCAAAAAAAAAAAAGTTGACTTTCTCAAACGATGTGATTGGATAACTGAACTAACCAGCAGATCAGTTTCATCGCACAGCATCTCAAACGTTGGTTTGGTCATTCTGAAATGCCCGAGCCAAAGTCCGTCATCTGAATAATTTGGTATAATGACTGCGTTCCCAAACATCAGGAATCTGAACGCAAGATATCATGACTTCTCTCGTGCTCTGAGAACCAAAGTCATTTATGATATAGGATAAAAGAGCCACAGTGGCTTCCCCGATTGCACCAATTCCCCAGGAAGTGACTATTTTGTTTTCGAACACATGGGATGGAATCGCTGCTTTATTGGCAAATGTAAGCGATATTCCAATTTTGTGGACAAAATGGATTAAACGTCGAATGGAAACATAGCCAATGATCTCAAGAAAGGTTTCCACTGAAAACAAGATCAAGTGAAGAGAGCACCCAAGCATGCTCGGGTACTGAAGACAAGTAAATGATTTGTACTGTCATCAAAACAAAGTGAGGAAAAAAACACATTTACACCTTTCCTAACTGTGACAGGAAGCCCTTTCCCCCAAAAAACATCCTTAGTACCATTCCTTTAAGCTTTGAATTTTTTCTTTACCTATTATATAGACTGCAGCAATTGTAAATAAATTTTTTTGATGAAACATCCATTTTCTGTTATTTATCCTACTACTTTTGCCTGGGCAAATATGCTTTCCTAGAGCTGAGAGCCTAGATGCAGCTAAATGACAGACATATGGAGTAATACCTTAATAATACAAATAACACTGTAAGGACTTACAGAGCAGTCTTCATTTCCTTGATTTTGCTGCAGTTTCCTCTTCAGGCAAACGTCGTCTGCAGGGAGAAGGACAATCGTGAGATCAGAGGTAGAAAACCAAACACTGTCAGTTGAGAACTACATTAGCTGCTCGAGTAAGTGTCACATTGCCCTATGATTAATTCAAGCAAAACATTGTCATCCATTTAGTAGTGTAAAGAATTAAGCCTGAACCCTACATTGCCTTCAAAAGATTTTCTATTTTTATTTATCTTCCAAATAGTATCTACATTTTCTGTTGAAAATGGGAGAGATTCTTCTCCATGCAAAAGTCCCTGCCATGATTTTAGGGTGTTCTGAGTGGTTGTTAGTGTGTAGCTATGCAGTTGTTAGGTGGTTGTTTACTTTTTGTCCCTACATGTGTATATGTCGATGCCACACGTTGGTGCGCCATCTTGGAACGGTCAGCGTGTTGTCATTCACAGTAAGAATCTATGATGCCACAACATTTCGCAGCTACTGGTTGTGAAACCGCAGAGATTTAAATTCCCAAAGCAATGGGATAACCTTTCACAGGTGAGAGAATGTGTTGAGCACCGTCCTTCAGATGAGAAGCTAACCCGAGGTCCTGACTCTCTGTGGTCACAAAAAATCCCAGGATGTCTTTCGAAACGAGTAGGGGTGTAACCCAGGCACCCTGGCCAAATTTGCCCAGTGGCCTCTGTCCATCATGGCCTCCTAATCATCCCTATATATACTCATTGGCTTCATCACTTTGCCTCCTCTCCACCAATGGCGCTTTTCCACTGCATTGTACAGCTCAGTATGGTTCGGCTCGCTTCGCTTTTCCACTGCGTGGTATGACTCGGCACGGCTCGGTTCGCTTTTCCACTGCAGTTAGTACCGCTCCAAAGTGGGTGGGATTATAGACTGATCGTTATAGTTTATCTGCTCCTCGGCAACCAACGAGAGGAACGTCTGCACTTCGTGCACTGACCACGATTCAGCCATTTCTTTTTTTGGAAGTTTTTTTTCTTTTTTCTTCAAGCAAGTAAGCAAGTAGTTTTAAAACAGGTGCTACTGCGGTGGCTGTTACTGGCTATTGAAATCTAGTGGGTTTGATGTCTCGCAAATACAATGACGCTGGTAGTGACGATTCAGTCTGACCAATCAGTGATCTGCAATGTTTTCACATCACATTTTAGTATCGGTGCAGTACACTTGGAACCTCAACAGAGGTGGTACCATTTAAAGCGAGCTGTACCATGCAGTGGAAAAGCGCCACAATAAGCTGGTGGTGGGCGTTCTGGCGCAATATGGCTGCCGTCGCATCATCCAGGTGGATGCTGCACATTGGTGGTGGTTGAGGAGATTCCCCCCTTCCATGTAAAGCGCTTTAAGTCTCGAGAAAAGCTATATAAATGTAATGAATTATTATTATTATTAACTCAATATTACAGGTTTTTACTATGGTAAATTTTTAATATTGTGTAAGCTGGCGCCTTCGTCTTGTATTGTGTTAGTTTAGCAAAATCATCAGCAGATATAGATATTCAGGCTTAGACATGTGTCTAACTACGGTTGCAGTCACGGAGTCAATTTGCTCTCGAGTGTTCGCAGACTGGTTTGACCGTTACAATATGGCGGACGGCTTACACATAGCAGCCCAAGGAAACAGACGAGGCATCTATGTATCAATTTTTTATGTTTTAAATTTGTCCAGGTGAAATTGAGTCTGATCATTTAGAAGGTAATAACAGTTCTCCTTGCTTTCACATGAAGAACAAACATTACAGTGCGAGTTACTCACTGAAATGTAATACTCAATATGAGCCATATTTATAGCGTTGCTTGCTTTGGCAATCATAAACAAAAAAGTTATCGCTAATTAGGCTCTTTGGGGGCAATGAGGTGACTAACTTAGTACTGGAAACCACAGTGAGCAGGAATTGAGGCATGCTGGAGAAATTTTAAATAATTGCTAGGCATGTGAAACAACACTAAACCCAAATCCAACTTGAGCGAAAAACTCTTTAAACGAGAGAATATTGTTTAGTGAACTTTTATTGTAGATATAAAAATTTGTTGCAGGGTGAACGTCCTTTATTGATTTTGTTTATTTATTTACTACATTAAAAAAAAGTGAATGAAGTTTGTATTATCACTGTCACACTAGGGACACCGACATGTTATCAGGGGTGAAATAAGCTAAATTTGTTTTAAATGAATGGATAGTTAAAACATTTTAAATAAATTCAATTCGAAAAATCTAAATGCTCCAAGTATTAATTGTTCTGCACTAATAATAATAAAAATAAAAAAAATTAGTTAATTTTTTTTTTTTTTTAAAGGGTAACTAAACCCTAAAACAACTTTTTTTAGTTAATTATCAGTAAGACAGGCTTTATTGATGCTGTTCATTGATTCGAGTAAATTTTTTGACATTTGGGTAAGAGTGTTTTAATTCTACAATATATGGTGTAAAAATGTCTGAGTGCTGCCCTCTTCAGGTTGAACAGTGGCTACTGCAGTTGAATTTTCCTATTGGATGTTGTGGTACTGCGTGACATAAGCAGGTACCAGCTCACCACGCCCTTGCCTACAGAGATGCGGGTCTCAGGTGCACGCCCTCCCTCCGCTGGGCTCTGCCCACTTTTCCAGCATTTTTCAGATATTGCCAGTGGGTGAGGTCAGGCTTTGACCAGGGGTTGAGTTACCCTTTAAGTAGTGTTGGGGAAATGCGGAATAGTCATATCGTCCTAACGTCAGCCGCTTACCGCTGATATGCAGATCGCTGATATGCAGTATTATCGCTGGCGGGGGATGCAATAGTTTAGGATGCAATGAAATATTTCACCCAAAAGGCGAGCCCGTGGATATCAGAGAAGCACTATGGAAACTTCGCACGAGAGTTAAGCCCCGTTCACACTACAAGCGACTTTGTCGCTGCATGTCGCCAGTGGCTGGCGATGCGGTCGCTAGTGGGAGTTCCCACTACTGGTTGCCTTTATGAATGACATCCAATGATGTGGAGAAGGATCATACGCGCTCCGCTCCTATTGGTTGTCGCTCCCGAAAGTCACTCCTCATTTGCATAAAGTTAAACAGATCTCAACTTTGTTGCATCGCCAGACACGCCCCATCCGGTCGCCAACGGTCGCTGTCGCGCGTGTCCCCGGAATTCGCCAGCTCCCTATTGAAATGAATGGTATCGCGTCGCGTGTAGTGTGAACGGGGCTTTATGCTGGTTAAGGAGTCTCAAGTTAATCCATGAAAGTGAAAGCAAAAACTGACCAAGCATTCAGCGTCCGATGCTGCACGGTGAATTATTTCTTTCAGACAGCTGAATCTACCTCAATGCTGATAATGGTATATCAAATTTATTGGCTTAATATTTTCCTCTTGTGGAACATACATTAATGAGGGTGAAAAAAAAAACGAGAAGAATCAATATTTCTTCTTTTGTTGTTTTAGGTCAGTGTTTGAAGCTGCTTTTGATTTTCATCGATAACAGATTATTGTGCCTGTGCACAATAAAGCCTGTTATTAAGCCTATATAACTTAGTAATAATATTGTTATTAATAATAATAATAAATCATAATTTGTAATTGTATTGTTATTGGTGTTACTAGTGTCATTAAATGTTTTATTTATGTGCTATGGAAAGGCTTACGAAAAACGATGCCGCCTTGGCGTAAATAAGAACTGTACACGTGTCGCAAGTGTGGTTATGTGGTGATGTCAATATGAAATTAGGGAAGGCAAGTGAATTGTAGGACCTAATATTAATTTGACAATACCAGCTCAATAATAGTAATGATAATTTCATACATTAATGGGAACCGAGCCAATAATCGTCTTGATAACGTCAAAGGCATCAGCCTTTGCCAATATGACTACCATCGATAAACAATACTATCGTCACAACCCTACTTTTAGGTATAGTCTAATGAGACAAAATTGGAAAAATTCCAGTATTTTTTTTTATTAAAATTGATGTTTGTAACATACTTAGGTTATAGAAGGCCTAAATAGTGTTTCTCCACACCATTCCCCCCAAATAATGTTACCAATAATCCCTCTATTAATAACTGCAAATTTTGATTTGAAGTTTTTTTTTTGAAGTTCTGAATTTCATCTTATTTCGCTAAACATCGATGCGAGTAAAGAGTTCATAGCTAGTACCAAGATTAATGTTTTTTTTTTTATTCGTTATATTCTACAACTGTTTAAATATCTTAGGCGGTGCAGAATTCGTTGAAATAAATGTTCTGCATTTATTAAAAAAATGATGATTTGTATTATTATTATGTATTTGCTCAAATTGTGTAAAAATTGCATTGTTAACTATACTTCAGGCCAAGCTAGTGTTTTAAAAACATTAGTAAATGAACCACATAACTATATAGTACCTAAAATAATGTACGTCATACAGGGTTCCTTAAATTGCAATACTTACGGCAAAAATCCGTTTCCTCATCTTTCTTTTGACATTTAGGAGATCAGGAACCCTTAACAACAAAAAGATTCTTCGTTAGATTGAAGATACATCCTACGATTTGATTTAGAGCACACCTAGTGGTGGTTGATGATAAGGTAAATAACGGATTGCGCAAATGTATAGTTCAGTTAGTAAATACATTAATGGCACTTACATTTATATGGCATGAGACTGAACAAAACTCCATCATCTTTTATCCAGTTGTTTCGATTCCTGTACACAAAAAAACATTTTGGACAATTAGTTTTGTATTGTATATTCACTTCGGAGTCAAAATGTTCAAAAGAAACTATTTCATTCATGCGGTTTCTCTACATGAAATACAATTTCTTTAGTTAACGTCGAGGTAATCTGCAAGGACTATTGTTGAAAAATTCTTAAAGTACGTAATGTGACAATACTTCATACGCTGAAGAATATACATAAATCAGCAACCTCTTTGAAATAGAATAATCACTTAGGGCTCATGTTTTATTTTTAATTTATTCTCTTACATGCAACATTAGTAGTAACATTTGTTTTCTAGACAGCAGTGAACAGTTCATTATTTTACAGCATAGACCTCATAATATATTAAATCTAACATTTTACACTTTAAATAAAGACAACTTTAACAGCATTACTTTCTAGGTTATATGTTTCTATGATATTGTGGCAACTAGAGCAATAAAAAGATTTTACAGATTTAATTGGACTTTTTTTATATTTATCAACAATTTTTGTATAAATGTAGGGAATTTAATACTTCAAAACAGTACTAATCAGGTGAAAATGTACTTTACATGTATCTCTGTTGAAAATGGAAAAACAGAAATAAAGAAACATGTTTCTACATTTTTTAAAGAATATATTTTTTTCTTGTGGACTACAATGGGTTAAAAGCCAACACCCTATTATTTAACGTCGAAAATACAGCACAAATGTTTTCAAAGCACAAGAAATAAAAGTGGATACGTTTATTTAAGTTCATTCTCAAGTGGAAAAGAACCATAAAATGAAATGTTTAACTGTTACATTTTATGCAGAAAACAATACAATCTTAAAATAAAGTAAAACATCAAAATGTACTAAATCCAAAGGCAAGTTGACACATTCACAACGTTCCTTGAACAAGTTCAAAACAATATACATCTGGGAGGGGGGAGATTATTTTTTTCAGTAATTAACACAATAAATGCATTAGAATGTTCAATAAAATTGTTTATTCAAAGAAAACAGTTGAAATCAACGAAAGACACTCAAAATGTTGAGACAGGAAACGATACGTCCCTTATAGCATTATTACAACAATATTTCAATATAAATTATTTTTTCCGCTCTCGAATGTTACAAGGACATTTTGTCCTCTCAAGGACAAAGCGAATTTAAAATGCGTAGACAGTTAAATCCTTGTTTCTCTTCGTTGCTGCCAGTTGAAATCTTCACGGTCTTCCTGCATCATATCCATGCATTGTTTTCCTAACAATTTCACGATGTTTTTACCTTAAAATTGTCGATTAAATCGACGGAATGCCCTTTTTCAGTACTTGGCAATGGCCCCATCATGGCCATTTTACAACACCTCGTCGAACCCTCTCCTTTTCCACCATATTGGTGCGTCTTTACCACTCGCTCAAACACGTTTAGAAGTTAAATTTGTAATGAAATCTTACCATGTTCCCACCGTTGCGATCTGCTCTTTTATCTGAACAGGTCGACGCCATTCTCTTCGTAAGCATTCTTGGTTTTAACGAGTTCTTCTCTCTCAGACCGCGCCGCATCGCCATCTTCACCCGTCACCGCTGTGTGTTCTCTCCGTGTGCGCGCGCTTCTCGTCCTCTCGGTGCTGTTATACTGATCGAGTGGACGGACAGCCCTGAGCTTCAGCGTAAGCACAGACAACTTCCTCTCACTGCAGCATTCTGGGTAGAAGAAACGCAGCATCCATGATGGTGTATGTAAACTAACCTTTGGAATTCAGTGACCGAAAAAAAGCTCATTCTTTTACACTGGCATACTCAGTGGCGTCATGCCCATTCAAAGTGAGGGGGCACGTGCCCCCTCAGATTTTTCCTCCCTGATAATTTTTTATTTCTTCAGTCTTGTTATAATCAGATTCAGCGCGTTGTTCATCTTCAATCCGCAGCGGTGCCGAGCAGAGCGCACGTCAGAAACAGAGGACAGTGTGTGTGTGTGTGTGCGTGCGTGTTCATCTGGGCCTCATTGGTCTGTCACTGCTCGTCAATGTCAGAATATTTGAGATGACCAATCAAATCAAAGTAGGCGGCCTTTATGTTCACAGATGAGCGCGAATTTTAGCAGTGACTCGACGCTTCAGTGTACAGTCAAGTGCGAGATGTAGCTAAGTAGCTAAACTAAACATTTCATATTTGACAGTTTTTTTAGTTCATAAATGTTAAACGAATGACAAAAATAATCAGGCACACGAATATACTTTTGTCTAATTTCGCCATTTTGAACTGAAAATAGGCCTATGTAACGTGACTCGTAATGTAGGCTAATAATTAGTTTACTGTCATTGTGAGGGGAAAAGACGTTTTCATTGTTAGGCACAAGATTAATAATGAATGTGTACATATTGAGAATTAATATAGTACAATTTGTAGCCTTAAGTAAATTAAAAAAGCTCAGCTTTAGGAGGGGAAGGCAAGATCAGGAGACAGAGAAAAAGAAAGAGTGATGGATAAGAAGTGAGAGCAGGTATTGACAAATAATCTGCCCACTGACATGGTTTTAAAGCTATTTCTTATCCTTTTTTTGGCCTTCAAACGTCTTGAAATGCACATAGCCTATCAGAGAAATAAAAAATTTGAACCCCCTACCCACCTCAAATTTAGGACCTCTGTGATTATAAAGCCCTGTCTACGGCCCTGTATTAGGCAAAAGATCAATAATGAATGTGTACTGTGAATGAATTTAATAAACTTAGTTAGGCTACCTAGCTTTCCAGCTTTCAGTAAATAAATTCGTCTGAGAAAATGATTCATAAATCAACCTATGTTTACTTTCTTCACTGACAGACAAAAATGAAAAGCCTATCAGTCAAAGCTCAACTTTAGGAGTTTTTTTGGCCTTCAAAACATCTTATAATGCACATATAAGATACACATATACTTTAACTTAGTCCTCAGATAGAGGAGGGTTGCTGCTAGCTCCGTTAAGGTATTTCTGTCCCTCCCAAACTGCATTGAAATAGTATGTTTCGCAGCCAGAATTAAAAAATTTGCAGGGGGAGAAACCCCCTGACCCCTCCTAACATGATCCATATCACCCGTCAGAAAACAATTGCAACGTCTCAGATTGTGCCCCCCCAGAATTTTGGCTTGCATGACGCCCCTGGGCATACTGACAACGCTGCAATTTAACGACAAATAGCCATAGGACAGCAAAGCATTCCTATTTCAATAAAAACTGATCAAATAACTTCTTCGCTTAGCCTACTATTGTGTTGTTAACTTACATAATGCAACTTACATTCTTACAGTAGGCTACCGGTCAAAAGTTTGGAAACATTACTATTTTTTTTTAATGTTTTTGAAAGAAGGTTAGGGTCATCAAGCCTGCATTTATTTGATCACTAGTACAGAAAAAAAAGGTATTATTGTGAAATATTATTACAATTGAAAATAATGGTTTTCTATTTTAATATGCTTTAAAATATAATTTATTTATGTGATGCAAAGCTGAATTTTCAGCATTATTACTACAATCTTCAGTGGCACATGATCCTTTCAGAAATCATTCTAATTCATACTCAGTTATTATCAATGTTAGAAACAGTTGTGCTGCTTAATATTTTTTTGGAATCTGTGATACTTTTTTCATGATTCATTGGTGAATACAAAGTTAAAAAGAACTGCATTTATGCACAATATAAATCTTTACTATCACTTTTTTTATCAATTAAACACATCTTTGCTGAATAAATGTAGATCAGCATATTAGAATGATTTCTGAAGGATCATGTGACACTGAAGACTGGAGAAATGATGCTGAAAATTCAGCTTTGCATCACAGAAATAAATTATATTTTAAAGTATATTCAAATAGAAAACCATTTTAAATTGTAATAATATTTCACTATATTAATATTCTTTCTGTATTCTTATCAAATAAATGGTGGCTTGATTAGGAGAGACTTCTTTTTTTAAAAAAACATTAAAAACGTGATGTTTCCAAATTTTTGACTGGTACTGTATAAAGCCATGACTTTATATAACAAAGCAACAAATCTGTTGAGATTATAGTCCTAAAACCAAGGGAATTAGCATTTTTGAGACATTTGTTCTCACTGGAAATATCTTTGTTTTTGTTTTTCATTTAACTAGGCCTATATAAATCAACTTTTATTACAGAAAAATTACACACATCCATACCTAAAAAGAGAAGAAAAAATTTAATTGAAAAAAATGAAAGTTGCTAACACAAGAATATGATTTCATGAATAATTTACATTTAAAAATGCAGCAGCAGCAACAAAATTTCTCAAAAAGTCTCTTTAAATAATGATAGGCCATAAATTGAAACCTGCTCTAAAAACATAAGCTATAAGAATTTTCCAGCATGATCTCATGAAAAGGCATAACTCGGAGCCTTCACTTGCTTCAAAATAAAAACTATATTCTTAATCCACAAATATAAAACATTATATATATATATATATATATATATATATATATAAAGGAAAGTTGTCTCTGGAAAAAAGTAATCTGTGACATTGTTGAATATCAAAGTTATTTGTTTACGAGGGGTTTGTGGAGACATTAATATTTTATATTTGTGGATTAAGAATATAGTTTTTATTATGAAGCAAGTGAAGGCTCCGGGTGGAATGTTACCAGTGTTAATATTTATATGTTTATTTATTTAAAAGGCTACTTATTGTAATCCATGGGGTTATTATCAAGTAATTTCAGACATCTTTGATATTTAAACCTATAGGCTAATTGAGTGAAATCATTATAATTGAATTTACAGTGTTGGTATTATGACAAAAGGTTTCATGTAGCCTACAGGTTGCAACAGCTCAAACCAAACATCCATAGTTTATATAAAACACTTTTGCAATATGAATAATATATTGATCTAACTCATATGAAGTTGTTTAAATATTTAACCTTCAATTAATGAGCTATGACTATGACAGTTCTTTTTAGCAAATGGTGTACCAGAAGCTCAGCTCTTGTCAATGGCTCATTTCTCTCCAACAGCTAGTCTGCACTCTGCATACCACAGTTGGTTTCTTAGCAACTGTAATTGTATGAGCCTCGGCTCCCTCCCCCTCTCCTCTATAGTCATGCCACGTAGGCACTGGGAAATGCAGCAGGTGGACATTTCATGGAAGGTAGCTAAACCTTTAGCTTTAGGTAGCTAAACCTACCATGGTTAGGTTCGCTAAGGAAGCAAGCTAAACTCTATCAATTATTTGTGTACAAGCTATAGCATTTCATAAACAAAAATTAAAATACAGATAGAAAGAGGTGTTAAAACCAGATGCCAAAACCAGACTAAATAATATTTTCCTTTATACTAAAAATACTGTATAATAAATGACACCATATTTTGACCCTTTATATCTGCACACAAATGGGAACAAACTGTTTTTATTGTAGTATAATAAAACAAAGATGTGAAATTAATTTGGACTGAAAAATTAAACAATATAAGAGCCCTCTTGTGGCCTTGTATGACATTTTTGGTGTTGTTTGGACTGTGGAGCAATCAGCGCCCAATGCATTTTTGGTTTGAGGGCCATTGTGCAAATAGAAAAGTTTGACTTTGAAAATATAATTAAAATTTGCTTTTTATAATAACAATCTGGGGCCGGTTGCATAAACCGCTACGACTAGTCTTACAAGTTAGTCATCAATTTTTTTGCTTTAAGACTGTTAATAACTTTTTTCAATCAGGCCAAATTTGATACCGAAAATAAATAGGCCTACTGACTGCCCCTTGACTAACTGGGTCATAGATATTAAGACACTGTCTTAAAATAATGGAGACAAGCCCAGGGGCAATCAGTCTTAATTTTTGGCTTCAAATTAGACCAATCTACGTTTTTATGTAACTGAAAGCATTATGAACAGTCTTAAGGAAAATAAATGTGATGACTGACTTGTAAGACCAGTCTTTCTGCAACCAGCCCCTGATTTCTGCTAATATTTTTATTTTCCTGTATGCACTGACGGAAAGGTCATCTGACTGTATCTGTGATTGCGCCACCATGTGGCTAATATAAACAATGTATTTAATTTAAAACGTTTCTCCACTTTGAGAATAATTGAATAACTCCCCCAAAAATCATAACCATGGTTGCATAACTAGTTTACAATTTAGCAGTCTGATACACCAAGGCCCGTGTCTGCTTATGGTTAACTTACATTTACCGTTATTAAAATCTATACTTAAAATCTTTATCTTCGTTTAGGTTATGCATGTATTATTATTATTATTATTAACAAAAAACACATTACTCATACATGTTTGGTTTTAATGTGTATTATTGATGTAATAATATGCATTTCTATCCAGGAGAATATGGACTGGGACTCCTCTGTTAAATAGTGTTAAATAACAGGATGGAGCGCAGGGAAGCCAAGCCTAATCCAACAATAAGCTATTTCCTTCTCTTATGACCTGAAGAGATCAAATCATGCATTTATTCTGCTGAGATCCACTATGGTTAGTAAAGGTTTTTTGGGGGTTTTTGAGGACATTTACTGTATAATTATTTTTTTTACACAACCTTTTTCTACCATTTCTAAATTAAGCAGGCAGTTTTGCTGCGGTACATTTAATGCCCCTTTTGAGATTTTCTTCAACAACAGCCTCTTTGCAAAGCACTATACCCACCATGTAGAAAGTTACCACACACCACATAAACATTAGGCAACCCTATTTCCCACTTCATTGGTTCCTTAAGGATCCTTAGGATAGATAGATAGATAGATAGATAGATAGATAGATAGATAGATAGATAGATAGATAGATAGATAGATAGATAGATAGATAGATAGATAGATAGATAGATAGATAGACAGACAGACAGACAGACAGACAGACAGACAGACAGACAGACTGACTGTTGGGGGCAACACATTACAAGTGTGTCACAAGTTACGTAATCAGATTACTTTTTTCAAGTAAGTAATGCATACTTTTAAATTTACAAGAAAATATCTGAGTTACTTTTTGTTAGAGCTAGCCTACAGGTCTGAATGTGCATTTCCTTCAGGCTGATGCTATTCATTTTACTTTTGGTGTGAAAGGGCCTAACATTTGAAAAACAAACAGGAAAGCCCACCCCAGATGGGGAAAAGTAAGGTAAGTAATTCAATTAGTTCCTTTTTTAGGGATAAATGCAATATTGTATGCAATATAACATAACACATAGCCTATGCCAATTCAATATTAAAATGGTAGATTGTCTGATGTATAGGCCTAGTCTATACTCTCGTGAAAAAAAAAAAATCAATATTTCGCCAACATAACTATAAACAGGCGCTCTTCTTTTATTAAAGCACGTTGGTGCCAAACCCTGATGCACATTGGTTCCTCGTCCGTCTGGACCCTCCCGGAGCTCTTCCGGGTGTGGATAATCCACATTCCCAAGAAAACATCCTGGACGGACTGAGCTGCGTGCAAGTGCAAACCAAAGAATGAGACAGAGCACTTGAGATTGAAGACAGATTATGAACAGATACTCGCGAGATTGTGGACATGTTTGACGAGCGACTGTGTGAACTGTGGGATATTTGAGATGTCAGACTCAGAGCATCATTTCACATCATCCGTCAGACAGCTGTTGTTCGTATTTCGTGTTATAGAGCGCAGAGCTTCTTTATACTGACTCTTTTCAATATACAAAACATTAAGTAAACGGATTAAATCGGGAAACAATATGTGGCCAATGCCATATTATTTTGTTTTTGCTCTTATTGCCATTGTCCAGGAGGTGAACGGAGAACCACATACGCGTCCCTCAGCGATGCAGTTGAATTCAACATTACCCCCGCAAGAAGACTATTCTTCATCACATAATACAACAGATGCAGCAGTTGGATCTCGCATTTCTACCATTTTAAGGGATCTTCCTACCATCAAAAATATTTCGATTTCTATCTGCGTGTTAACAACCTTGCTTATCACGTGCCTTGTCATAAAAATATTCAGGTAATATAAGTTGGCATATATTTAAATGGTTTATTATTGTTGAGTTTTGTGTTGAGATTATTGTCTGAGTGATTGTGCCAATCATCTGTTGGTTTTAAGAAAATGCCACTTTACTTTTAATTGAAAATGGAGTCCTTTTCGATTCATTAGCCTAAATGTCTCTTAGATTTCGGGTAACTGGCTTGCTTAAAGACAGAAATAGAATAAACACACACACACCATTTATACAGATTTTGTCAATTTCAGAACATGCTGGATTGTCTGGTAACGCCGACTCGTTTTCCCTGACTTAATCCTCTTTGGAAGCAGATGGTTCGCCTGTTGGTTGGAAACCGAGAACCGATTCTTTTTCAGAATCTTATTCGAAATCCGATGATTTTCACGACGTTCGGTCGGTCTTCGAATCTGCAAATGCGAACGAAACTAAAATACTCTTGACAGTCTCCAGCTTTTTTATATAGCAAATAAAGTGCAGTCTGACTTTCGAACAAATGACTCTTATGAGCCGGTTCTTTTGTAGCGAATCAAAACACTAACCATAACGTTTGTGGTATTGTACAACGTTAACTACTTAAAACTCGCGAGACTTTAAAACAATGCAGTCACTGATTATTTCAATACCACAACATGTAATTAAAGTTAGCCTATACATTATGAGTTTTGTTGGGATATTTGATGAATGACGTACAGTTGTATTTTTATTTATAGGCAGGATAAGTGATTGGATAACATCCCAGCTGGCATTCCACTGACATTAAACGTTTAAATGTGGTTGAAATAATGTAAGTTTATGAAAAAACATTAATTCAACGTTAAAACAACGTTGAACACCAAATAGTTGAAGTTATGTTGTTGACTCACTACGGATGCAACATAGAAATAAAAAAAAAATTGAGTTGTACGTCAAATCAACATTATTTTTACAACCATGACTTTTAAACGTTTTGTTGAAATATATCAGTAGAAAAATAACGTTGTTTCAAAATCCAATTTGCAATCTGATTTGCAAAATCTAAACAAAATTCAACGGTTATCCAACACTGGCACCTGACGTTGATTCAACAGTGACTCAACGTTAAAATGCCAGCTGGGATTGTCACCTCTAAAAAGTCTGTCCTTTTTTAACACACCTTCCATTTGGAACCAACTCATTTGGCAACAGATTTGGGAGGAAAATAAATGGCCATTTCTTTTTTCAAAACTACTAAAACAACCATTAATAGAACTGTTAAAGTCAGCATTAAACTTCCAGTGACTGCTTCTCAAACAAGAAAACAATGTAGGGCGGGAGTCATGGGATTAGTCATTGGGAATTGATTTGATTGGATGGTTGTGGTTTGCTATTGCTGTGATCTCATGTGAGTGACAGGTTGTCCCGTCATTGTGCCAGTAAACACGTCAACACATCTATTTTTTAAAAAGATGTGCATTGATAAATTATTTATAATAAATACTGCAATATTCCATAAAAACAATTTGATATAATGGTGACTTTAAGGAATTAGAATAATTTAGATGAATCAGAATTTCTGATTGCTGCTCGCCTAGCTGGAAAACTCAAAATACGCTATTGAATGTACAGGTCATAACCTCACTCACCATGTTCTCTCTAACCCTGGTTTGAATAGATCGGCAAAGAAGATCAGAAAAACGCGAAAGTATGACATCATCACAACTCCCGCCGAGCGCGTGGAGATGGCACCTTTAAATGAAGAAAACGATGAAGACGACGACTCGACCCTGTTCGATGTCAAATACAGGTGAGTGCTTTACCACAACTTGCATTATGTGCAATGACATGAAATTAGGTCTCTTGTATTAACGTTTGTCCTCTTTTAGTGATTTAATTTGTAGTGCCTTACTTTTGCTTGCTTGTCGATGAAATTGACATTTTAAAAACAAATTCGAGGGAAGGGGAATAATAGTTCAACTTGTGGAATGTGGGTCTGGCTGGCTCATATTTGATTTTTGTTCAAGTCTGCCTATCAATTACAATCAGCCTTACCAGGAAAACAAGATTCTGTTTCTTTCCTGATGGCTGACAATGAGAACGACAGGGAAATGGTGCTGAAAAATAGAATGTTCTAAGGACTTTTGTCTCATTAGAATAAAGTAGACTATTAATGGAAAAGGCCTTCATAAGCTGTGCTTTAACTAACATGGCACACTGCTATATTCTCATTAAATAAGACCAGTGTGTTTTAAAACCCAGTAGTTGTTTATTGACTGTGAATGGTCTTGGTGAGTGACCTCACGGGTCACAATGGAAACCGTTGTGTTATTTGGAGGGTTAGTGAGCATCAAGAGTGGACTTCTCCCTTCCGTCCAATTGTTCTTTGACTGAGAGCATGCTTCCTTTTTGCTGGGCATGGCTCCCTGTTTATCAGCAATGTGGCAAAAGTGTGAGGCCAACCAGTTTAGACCAGTTTGACAACTTTTATTTTTCATGCTTGAAACTTAATATGCTTTTTAATTGACCTAATCCTCTTATTTAAATTCTTTGCTTACTCATAGGTGAATGAAACGGTGCACTCAAAGTCACTGTTGAAGAGCCCCGGAGACCCCTGCGTGTGAACACATCTCTACAGGGACCTTTGATTTGATTAATTTCCTCAGAGCCTTGAAACCTCAATGGAACATGGCGACAAATTATATCAAATGTTTCTTGGTGTATGCATCCGTTCTGACATTCCAAACCAACAAGAAATGAAGTTTTATGAAAGGAACTTTTCTGTTGGAAGCACAGAAAGATAATCAAAGATTGATAAAAAAAATAGGTTTATTTGCTCCTAATGAAGGAGGCACTAAAGTTAATCCCCCACAAATCAGTTATTGCTCTAATTATTGCACAATTATTTTTTAAAATTTTCCTTTACCCCCAAAAAACATTCCTGTTGTTTGGTAGAAAGTCTGTAATTCAATATGCATAATTGCTCTTGAAAGTATGAGGCAGCTTGAACATTACTGTCACAGTATATCACATTAAAGCTATTTTAAGTAATATTTTTGGAATGTGATCATATAAATAATAAAAAATAATTGCAATTATTAATTTAAAAACCCTACACATGGAGCTCAAATGTTAGGTTAATTAAAGTTGTTTTACTTTTAAGTGATTTAGCTGAGCTTGAATAAGCCCAAAGTTTCAAATGAAATAAACAAGATATGCGATGTTATATGGTTGTTTATGCTCCAATACAGAAAATGTTTTTGTTTTTTTTACCCCTTTATTGTATACTATTATCTGTATATATTGTATGCAAATTATTCATCTGAAATAGTTTATTTTTAGAAAGATATTTTGATTTAATAAGAGTAATATGTTTCAAACATCCCTATATTTAGAGAATTATTAATGTACTAACCACTAATCGTGCATATTTACTGTATAAGGGTTGAATGTATGTCTGAGAGAGGACGCGTGTTGTTGAGTTGGGAGAATACTGTTTCCATGATGCTGCTCTCTGAGGTTGAGGAGTGTTTTTTATTGTGTCACACACCTCCTTTTTTAATGAACTGGTTTTTACAGTGGAACACTGCAGTGCCACACATCATGAAGGGTTTAAACATATTTAGCTGTTATAGTACTATGCCAGATTTAAAAAGTCTTTAAAATATCTTAAAGCTACAGCGATATATTGATATAATATTATGTGACTTTTCTTTAGCTTCAGTGTGACTATCTTATTTTGATGCTCCTACTAAGATGTTAATGTGAAGGACTCTTGTCCAGCATCTAAGGACCAATAAGAATTGTATTGAATTATAAATGATGGTGTAGCTGCTTATTTTTTCTGACTAGTCTAAAACTGAAGTCAAGTATATGATTCTCACTCACTCTATTCTGTGTTTGATCTAATTGTTTCCAATTGCCCCAATTTCATACAAATCTGAATTCATGCTTTGAAGCGAAGGAAAGGAATAGAATGCTTAAAGTATTAAATGCAAACAATTGCTGAAGTGACTGCAAAACGGTTGAGATGAAGTGTTTTTTCTGCACTGTCTAAGGTGTTTTTCCCCCTTAGCATTCATCATAAATTGAACACGTCTTAAAATACTTGCTTTAACATTCTCCTGGTTTTGTCTGACATGTTTGTTAGTCTAAACACTGGACAAAAAAAGTTTAGTTATATCAACAATCTTTCTTTTCAAAGCAAACTTTATGTCTGAGCTGAATTGTAAATGTTTGTTTATGAAGAGTATCAAATCATAAATGTTCTTTTCTTCATTCTTGATTAAAATAAATCCAAAATGCAATAAAAATCTTAATTGAAAACAAGGTTTGTCAAATGTGTTGTTTAAAATGTGGTTTTATGGCAAGCTGTTTTAACATTTAATCCTTAAAACGTACCAGTAGACCTACTTATTTTTTAAATAGGTACTAGTACTTATTCATTAGCTATTAGTGCTAGTACCTTTTTAAAAGATAGTTATTAGATGTTTCTTATTTATTAGATACTGGTACTCATTCATTAGATACGAGTAGACTATTAAATTGATACTATTTTTTTTAGATAGGCTACTTATTCATTATTAGTATTCAATAGATACCCTATTAGATATTTCTTGTCCATATACGAGGAGTACTTATTTTGATAATGACTAGCCTACGATTTAATTGTTATTATTAGTAACACATTTTAAATGTTTGCTATTGACTTCGGGGGGTTCGAGTCTGAATGTGAGTGAGATAAGATCCGCCTCAAACTTGTTAACCAGTAGGCCTAACTTGCTACAGTTCAAGCATGAAGCAACAAGCAAAACAAATTTCCAATTTGTCTGGTTTCCCAATTTGTTAAGCTTCAGCTAGAGCAAATTTATACTATTAAATCTAAAAGCCTGTTTACACAACTATAACGATGATGACACAGTGAAACAATATCGTTGGATTATTGATTTTTCCAGCGGATGAACGATACAATTTTTTGCCAGCCAATCAGAATCCATTCTGCTTTAAAGAGCTCGCGCATTTAAATCGGCAGACGAAAAACTCAGGGCACGATTCGAGTAAACAGAACTGGTGTGGACCATAGACTGTATAAAACGAGGTGTGGACACGTGAGGGAACTGAGATAATACACCAACCGGTTATCGTTATAGTTGTCATTGAGTGAATACGCCTAACTAGGCTAATAATAAAACAAGATGTTTGCATCTATTTTTATAATGGCCCTTTATTGATAGCTACACCTGCATGTTGATAGCCTAGCTCTCTTAGTTTTTGTCACTTCATGCACACAAGAAAGAAAGAAAAACTTCAAGATGTATGCATTTCAAATCATAGTAAAATTCCATCCAATTGAATTGAATAACATATTCATATTACGAATTAAGATTTTTAAACGAGTAAAAAAAAACCTAGAGCTTAATAAAACATTTCAAATAAATCATAATAGAACAAGGGAATGGACCATTTAGTTTATGTGATTTGTATTCATAAATTAAAAATAAATAAAATATGTTTAAATTTAAGTTTAAGATTTTCTTTTACTCATTTTAAAATTCTTAACTCATATTATGAATAATATGTAAGGATTATTCAATTCAATTTGACGGAATGTTTACTATTAATAGAAATGCGTAAAAAAAAAGGCTAAAAAATGTGAGTGCAGGAGGCAAACACATTTTGTTCCACACAACACAATTCTGGCTTTAAAAATTCATTTGAAGGTTTATGTGGAACTTCAGTGTTAAATGAGCCTTTCATCCTTTGTGGCTGTTCCCTTCTAAATAAATTCCCCTTTTGCCTGACATAAAAGGGCTTTTTTCCCCCCTGTGATAAAGTTTTGTAAAAACAAACGAATCATTCTACGGGTACAGCTACTCCTCACGCGTTGGTTACCCACAAGACCTTAAAACACACCACATTTCCAGAAATAAGCCTAACAAGACATCACTCCACATATTTCTCATAAAATATCGGCTGAAATACTGTTATGTGGCTCACAGATCATAAATTGTTTCACTTTTCCCAGACCGAATTCATCTTGTGGCATCCTGTGCTAAAGTTGTTTTCTCCTCAGTTCCTGTCTTTCTTTTTCTTTAAAGTCTATGACGCTTTATTGACTGAATCACTTTCTTGTAAGTTGCCTCGGCTCAGAGATCCAGCATCCAACCTAATATCCATTTGACTAGGCAACAAGGATGTACCACAACCTGTCTCAGTTTTACCAATGAAGACAAAGCAGCTCTCATCTCCATAGGCATCAGAGCTATTTTGGGTGTAGAGTTAATAGGGTCCCTAACCACACAGGTCATTCAATAAAAACAAAAACAAAAGGATCCCCCTTTCTCCTCAAAACCAGACACTGTGGTAATCATTAACACATGAAAGCAGGAAACATGGACATCTCTTCCCCTCGTCCTCCCAGCTGTGGCCCGCAGTCAGTTGCAGTGTAATTAAGTTTAGTCATATTGGTTACAGACCGTTTCTCTTTTCTTTTTTTAACACAGGGGTGCTTTTACGGATAAATGTGTTCATTATGCCGGATAGCCTGCTGACGTCCGCAGTGACACAATTATCTATTTTTAACTTAAATGGAGACATAATAAGAGCAACATGTAGTGCAGTGAATGCTTCATGTCAAAAACCCGACAGATCACATGGTTCAGAACACACGAGAAGCCCCTCTCTGGGCTGTTGTATATATATATACACAGAAATATTTCACTAATTTTGATTAACTCCCTCTAGAAAAAATGTCTAACTTCTATGAAACCGTCCTCTCAGCCTTTATCAGGCCTCAAAGCACATGTAGCCTAATTCAATTTGTCAGCTTGTTTTTGGAAAAATACGTTTTTTGGGGTCAATAAACAAGTGTCCAAAATAAAATCTTTTAAAAATTCTTACTCATGTTGGTTTAATATAGTTGTGAAACAACTTTTGAACAACTTAAAGAAGTTTTAAGCCAGGATTAGGCCTTAGTTCAATTAAGACATTTAAGTGCATTTCATACACATTCCTAAAAAACATTAGCCTACATCTTATGTGCATCTTGAGACGAAACAATGGCACTGGTATATTTTAAGATGTGCCAGTGCAAGTTGCTTTCAGTTAAAACAGCTTAAACATGCATTTTAGTCTGGGACTAGACTTAATCCTTGTCTGGGAGACCAGGGGAATATGTATTAAATTTAAAGTCTAAACTAATGCCATTTAATACCATTAATTAAAAGAAAACGTTAAAAAGTATTTCTTATAATAATATTACATTTTTGTGGAGTCGCGTCACATGACATTTTACAACCGGAACTAACCTTGCATTGTCATAAAAAGGTCAAATTATCTGAAATTTTAAGAGACTTGTTGACCTTGACACAATCATGAGGGTCTGGAGTAATGATGCTGAAAATTCTGGAATAAATTAGTTAAAAATATATATAAAAAAAGAACAGTTAATTAAAATTGTAATCATTTCACAATATTAGTTACTGTATTTTTGATCAAACTAATGCAGCCTTGGTAAGAATAAAATACTTAAAAAAAATTTTTTGAATGCTAATGTACTTACACACAGTCATTATTACAATGGCCAGATAAGTACAGCAGTATGTTCTTTACTTAAGTTATCACAAATACATTCACTTAAACATGTAATATGTGTCACATACAAAAGAAATCCAAAACACCTTCCCAAAACCCTCCTTTATACAGAAACACTGTTTGCGATCCTAAAACAGATACTATGTGGCTTTAGCAAATTCAAAAGTTTACATACTCAACGTCCCTTCACGGCTGAACATTCTTGAGTACACATGAGTGTGTGAACAGCTGGGTGTGTCCTGGATTTGGCTCCAGTATCTCAGTGTGTGGCTCCACAGGCTCTGATAGCAGCCTCACTGAGCAAACATGTTCAGGCGCTCGCAGTGCACATGTTCCTCAAGTATTACAGCTCATTAATGCAAACGTTTTGAACGCCCGCTAAAGGTCACAACACTAGTACTCGCTATGTCTTTCTAAGGCAACTTTATCAGCATAACATTTTTTCCTACTTCAGGCACTAAATTATTGTCCAAAGTACTGTCTAAAAGAACGTATGTAGCAACATAGTGGTAAAACCCCTTTATACGGTTTAAATGTTAAATTCTAACTCTAAACTGTACCATGTTAAATGCAAAAACTTTCTACATTCATCCACGCCGTCCGTGGGCTTAACAGACACATAGACTGTAAAGGCAACAAATCAATGACATTCCTAATGTTTCTTTTTTTACACAAATTGTCCCAAAAGACTAAGGCTGAAGACCCATTTTATCACTATGCTACCATCTTGTGGCCAAATATGGTATACAACTAAATCTGAACAAATGAGACACTTAATGAATCATGTAAAAAAAAAACATGGGACATGAAAACATAAAACATCCTTAACACACATAAAAGAGCCTTATTTGGGGATTAAAAACCTTCTTAAGGTTAAACACGTAAGAAACCCTTGCCCCGTTCATATATTGCATTCTCACATTTGGTCAGAGATTTACCTGGAATATTCAGGTAATCCAGATTTTGTCACAGCATTTCTTTCTCCAAGCGTGTTTAAGGTCCAGTGTATAAACCCATTTTGAATGGGACTGTAAAAACTCATGTTGGCAGTTCACATGGTCCCGTGTGCAGCCGCAGCGCCCCCTGTCTGTGAAGAGCACTTAAAGTTCGAAATTCCAAAGGCATTGTATGCGGACTGGCTCTAGATGTGTAGTGGTAAGTTAGCGTGTCGTAGTAGTGATACTTGACCGGTTTGCCGTCAGGTCCATGAGCGAAAGGCCAGAAGCCGTACAGGTGGATCTCATCACAAAAGCGCGTGGCCATGGTGTACATCAGGAGTCCGGTGGTGGGCCTTTTGATCTGGACATGATTGGTCAACCAGTACCTGCAAGAAAGTTGATGATTACAAACTTAAGTTTATTCTTTTTTACAATTAGTATGATCTATACTGTGTTATACTTGTAGATCAATTACATTGTTAAAATCTTCAGAAAACCTAGAAAATCAGACACACTACTGATAAAAAAATACAGCAAAACAGTAATAGTGTGAAATATTATTACAATAAAATATATATATATATATTAGAATATAATTTATTCCTGTGATGCAAAGCTGAATTTTTAGCATCATTGCAGTCTTCAGTGTCACATGATCCTTCAGAAATCATTCTAATGCTGATTAGGTGTCCAAGAAACATTTATTATTCTTATCAATGTTGAAAACAGTTGTGCTGTGTAATATTTTTGTGGAAATTTGAAATATTATTTGAGATAGAAATCTTTTGTAACGTCATTAAGTCTTCACTGTCACTTTATCAATTTCATTTGTCCTTAGAGAATAATAATTCTTTAAAACTTTTGAACCGTAGTACATAAGGTTTTAAAAGAGTGACAAACACATTTACACGACAATGATGTACTAAAAACAGAAGACCTTTTCCAATACATTTTTCACGTACAGATGACAATGTTGTCAAAACGATCCCCGTTCACAAGAATCCGTGAAAACGACAAAAAATGCTGTGTTCTGCTGCCAGGCCAGTAGTTGGCGATGTCACTTTGTAAAGAAGCACTACGCGCCAATAGACTGAACACATAATATGCATCCACATGACATCACCGCTTTCACAAATTCTCATTTTTGTAGTTTACACTGAGATGAAAACGGTATCGTTTTCAAAAACTGAAACCCGTTTTCAAAAGTTTGCATTTTCAGGCCCCAAAACCGCTTTTGTCGTGTAAATGAGCAGCCAAAACACACAAAATTTTCCATTTTTAGTTGAAAACAGTGTTGTGTAAACGGCACTTGTACCGGAAAAAAAGGAGCCTAGGCTGCATTTAAGCTAAATCCCCCTTTTTAAATATTCTCATGCAAGCTCCACCCACATCCAAACCTGAGGGTGCAGCTCTTCCACGTTTAAAAGGAGGAGATCAGACAATTGAACAATGTCCATTAAGATGCACTGAACCCTCTCCAGTCCAGTCATCCCTGAATAACCCTGAATAGGGCTCTCTCTGTGTATCCGTGAAGTGCCATTCATTCAGGACGGCTGAAGAAAAGGGGAGTCTGGAGAAAAGGAGTTTCAGATAACAAAGGGGTTTGGGATCCCATTTTTAAAGCTACCTTTGGACTTTGTACATTAGGGCTGAGTACAGATGTTCTGATTCATCGGGATTTAAGAGCAGTTTACACTACATTTTCAGCTAGAAACGGAAAACTTTATGAGATTTGGCCACTCATTTACATAACAGCAGCATTTGAGGGCCTGAAAACACAAACTTCTGAAACAAACTTCTGCACTAAAGTGCAAGTTTTGAGAACGATACCGTTATCTAGATGTAAACTACAAAAACACGAATTTGGGAAAATGGTGACGTCATGTGCATGATCGTTTTAACAACATTGTCATCTGTACACGTAAAATGCGTTAGTACATTACTGTCATGTAAACATACACTAAATTTAAATTCAATAACTCCTGATAACAGTGGCAACAAACATGATTTAAAAAAACAACATTCCAGCGCCTGATCGCCTCTTATTTACCACAAACGAATGAAATGAATACTCTGCTATAGTCAACTAAAGATGTTTCGTTTGTATTAGGTACATCCGTGCCGCGAGATGTTTCAAAAAGTGGTGGGGACAATATCGACCCTATCAAAAAGTAACATGCTGAAAAAGCCTGAGAACTTTCACTGAAAACTTGGTCGTATAAACTAGATTCTGATTTAAAATGACACGAGGGCGAGTAAATGATGGAATTTTTGTTTTTGGAAGAACTATTCCTTTACAAATATACTTCTTTTTTTAATCATTTGATCAACTACAACATATTGTTTATGCCATATTTTCCTCAATACACCACCCACTGAACAGCTGTCTCTTACTTGACCTTTAATCTGGCCCACAGATGGATCTAAGAAGACCTCCTCGGCTAGGTGCATATTAGCCACGATGGTGGGTTCAGACACTCTGCTCTGAGGGAGGGCTGAATGACGGTCTTGAAATATGCAGAGGTCAATGGAGGCGGCAAAGGTTGAGCTATTTAAAAACAACCGACTACAATTGAGCCCAGAGGGGCTTGAATTTGTTGAGCGATCTAACAAAAGACCTTCTGTAATATATAGATGCCTGTTAGATATATAGATGCCTGTGTGCACTTAGTGAGCGTCCTCATCCATTTACAGGAACAGTCTGTGGTCGTGGAGCAAGATGTGAATGTATTGATGCCTGAACTATAAATAACGAAAGGCTTGATACACCTGCTTTAGCCAGCATGGATTTGAGTAGTCTTAAAGGGATAGTTCTCTCAAATGAAACGTCTGTGATTAATTACTCACCCTCATTTCATTCCAAACCCATAAGACTTTAGTTCATGTTTGAGAAAACAAATGAAGATCTTTTTGATGAAATCTGAGATATTTCTGTCCCTCCATTGACAGCCACGCAACTACCACTGTGACGCTTCAAAAAGTTCATAAAGAGATCGTAAAAACTAATCCATATGAATTGAGCGGTTTAGTCAAAATTTTCTTAAGAGACTTGTTCGCTTTAGATGATGAACAGATTTAATTTAGGCTTTTATTCACATAAATATTCATCAACTCACACATCAGTTGTGGTAAACGGAAGCTCAAGCATGTTTGCTTGACGTGCGATAACCAATGAGATTCATTCTCGTGTTACAATTATCACTGTTTATATGTAAATAAAAGACTAAATTCAATCCGTTTATCATATAAAGCGATCGAGTCTCTTCAGAAAATTTTGACTCCCAATCTATTCATATGGATTAGTTTTAGGATCTCTTAATTAACTTTTTAAAGCATCAAACTGGTAGTTGTGCAGCTGTCAATGGAGCGACAGAAAGTTCTCAGATTTCATCAAAAAAGTCTTCACCAAAGTCTTACGGGTTTGGAACGACATTAGAGTGAGAAATTAATGACAGAATACAATTTTTTTGGTGAACGAACCCTTTAAATGCATGGGCACGTACCCTCTGACAGCATGGAGCAGGCGCAGGGAGGGGAAGGCGGTGCGGACGTTCATGGTATGCAGAAGAATGAGGCGGATGACCCACTGCACTCGCTCCTCTCCTCCTTTAGCCATGAAGGCAGGGATCCACAGCACACTCCCACTGAGGCTCTGCAGCCTGTGGACGAAGCGCTGCACCCACTCCTCACTGTTCAGGTCCTGAAAGGCACGCTGGACCACAGAAGGGTTCATGGTCACCAGACTGGTGCGCAGGCCCACATCAGCTGAATACTCCTCCACAGGAGCAAGGTTGCACCTTGGAAATGGACACACACATACAGTATAGTACAGTAAGTCACAATCTCAGGTTAGGCTGGTCACCATGCATGGACACGCACATTACAACCCCTAAAAGTTCAGCGTTTAAGCAGTGTATAACACTGATATAGTAATTCCTTTTAGTCAGCCTTAGTTATCTTCATAGTTAACACGTCAGCAAGCCATAAACAATTTTATATAAACCTATTATATTTTATTTTCATGTTATATAAACATACACAATAGACCCAAAACACATTCTACACAAATAGCCTATGTCAGGGCAGATGCTATAAGCAAGTGTTTTGCATTTTTGTGGTTGCAGAAAAAGACGCTTTAGCACATTAGAGTAAACTGTCTTTCATGTCTATTTTTCAATAGAGTGCAATAGTTGAGTTCAAGAAGTAAAACTCCCATTCATTTTCTCCATAGGGGTATTTTTTTTAAATGATACCATATAAACCTAATGTCAGCTACAGGGTTGTTAATCCAGGGTATATATGCTCTTGTTGAACTTCAGCACTTCTTTTTTTTTAATCGTGTGTCAACAGCAGAATGCCTAGTGAAAAACTACATTATCCATGAGTCTGCAAAGAAATCTCCACCAATCAGAGAACCGCAATCTACAGCCGTGGCCAAAAGAATTGGCAGTGATAAATTTCGTGTTTGCTGCTTCAGTATTTATAGGTCATTTTTTCACATGCGTCTATGGTATACTGAGAAACAATGATAAGCGTTTCATAATTTTTAAAGGCTTTAATTTGCAAAAACATTAAAAATATGCAGAGTCAACATTTACAGTATTGACCCTTCTTCATAACCTCTGCAATTCGCCCAGGCATGCTAAATATCAGTTTCTGGGCCAAATTCTGACAGCGATCCATTCTTGCCTTATTAATGCTCGGAGTTGATCACAATTTGCAGGCTTAAGAGGACTGACACAGGTTCTCTATCTAAGAGGATTTATAGGACAATTTCAAGTTAATGATCTGAACCACTTCATTATCACTCTTGCCTTGTGGCGTGGTGCTCCATCATACTGGAAAATGCACGGATCACCACCAAATTGCTCCTGGGTCATTGTAAGTTGATACCATTCTTTATTCATGGTAGAGTCATTGGGCAGACCCACACGTGGATGGTCTCAGGATGCACGACACAGGTCTCATGGTAGCGTTCACCTTGTCTTCTCCGGACAATTGATTTTCAAGGTGTCCCAACCAGTCAGAAGAGGGCTTTACCAGAGAATATAGTTTTGCACCAGTCTTCTACCTTCTAATCCATGTACCTCCTGCAGAATTTCAGTCTGTCCTTGATGTTTTTCGCGGAAAAAAGTGGCTTCTTTGCTTCCCTTGACACCAGGCCATTTTCCAAAAGTCTAGCAATTCCCTTGCATGTGAGACCATTTTGACGCAAAGAGATGGCGGCTGCATGTCTTTCTTTGGAGGCAACCATAACTAACACAAAAGACTGAAAGCTGATCAAAACAATATAGTGATTTCACCTCATTAGTACTTGTTCAGTATTTTTCCATGTGCTGATGATATTTGTTAAATGTTAGCTAGTCATTTTGTGCCAGGGCCAAAAAACACTTTCCCATGTGCTGATTAAATTAGTGAAATGATGTTAGCTATTTTTGTGCCAGGAACAAAAAAAAACACTGAAATTTGTAATTAAGTTTTTTTTTTTTTTTTAAAGCTTTTTGCAATTATTTATAATGCACCTGATTGCTCTGCACAATAATCTAGAAACAGTGTGAATTATCACCTCAACTGAAGCAGCAAACTTTGCAAAACAAAATGTGCCACAGTATCAAGAGCGACACATTGTTTGTTAACAAAGTGACATATAAAGAGCAACAATCTAAGCACGGGTAAATGACCTTCACTCCAGACTTGCTTCATTTTAAAACAAGTAATTTATCTTACTATAAAATACAGCATAATATTACACTCTGCATTAGTCATACGTGCAGAATCCTCCAAAAGACTAAGCAAGCACCTTTTAGAGCTCATCCTATCATTTAACTCCACAGAGGTGACTTTAAAGCAAATACCAAGCAGAGTGCTGGCATTATCATCTTGCCACAATACCTGGAAAAACCTTTCAACACTGGCACCATGCCGACCGCTGAGGCTTAGCTGTCACAGTCACACTCCCACACACACAGTTTTGTCCTTGCCCAGTGGAACAGCCATGCCAACCACACAAGAGGGATTTAAGTTCCTACATTACTTAATCTTTGAGGCTCTAAATGTCCCTGGACTGGGGCTGAATGACATTAATGTCCTAAGAGCACATCTGGGCTGATGAGACTCACTTAGGATTGAGAATGTCACAGTATTACACTACTGCAGGCATCACATGAAGCACGCTTGCTGGTATTTTAAGCAAGCAGCTTTCGGCCGTAGGCAGAACATTTTAAAGGCAAGTGAACTTTAGTCACTTTCAGAAGACAGCCTAATTATGTTTCCAAGGCTATGGCTTAGTATGACTTGTACAAATGTCATATTTGCTCAGCTGGTCACAAATTGCAGTATGCATCACCCTTCAGTTCTGAAAGCCTTCAGACTTTGTGAGTCAAGCCTGGAATAGCCTGGAGTCAAGATATTGCAAAAGTGCATTTAATCACATACAGATCCACAAGCTGTTTGAAAACCAAACAGAATTTCTTTAAAGCAGTGGTTCTCAAACGTGGAGGGGGGGGGGGGAGGGGGGGGGGGGGGGGGGAGCGACAAGGGATAGTGTACAGTCAGCAGCATTGTTATGCAAAAGAAACCTCTTCAAGGTGATTGAAGACCACGTATTATGTTGTGTGGGTACCTGTAACAAGTAAATAATTGAACAAAATATTAATTTGACATTTTATTACCTCAAGATAACTTGACACCCGCTTGAACGGTCTGAAGCAGTTGTTGTTGTGGAATAACAGACCGCTAAAGGGCACGATTGAAGAATCAGAATTGATTGCAGGGAGCCGTGCAAAAAATATATAATTATCCATTTCAAGTTTGTGAAAGGAATGCCAGTGCCAGGTAAACGTAAAGTAAAGCAATGGTGAATCTACTTTAAACATCACAACTACGTGTCTTCACCAGACGCAAAGCTAATAGGACCCATTATAAACAGTATTGCTGTCTACACTGAATTTGGAAATTCCGACAGTAAACTGTTGCCCCGTTCCATTTCTGACGTACTCCAAGGCAAGAAAATATGATGAGGCATATCTCATCCTCGGATTCACCAGTACAACAGATAATGAAGAGAGACCACAGTGTGTTGTGTGCCTCAAAATGGAGTAATTACTTCTTTTGAAGCTTGTTTTATAAAAAAGCTCTATATTGCTAGTTATGACATAATTATTCTTTACAGCTAGTTTAGGTTGACTTGTTGTTTGATTCCGGATGAGAACACTTACTAACTAGCTAAGTTACATCACAGGTTGTCAACAGATGTTGAATGTGACAGAAGACAGATGTTTACCTAATGACAAAGTCATGTGAATCAATCTCTCTGCCGCAGCTGCTATTCAGTAATATCCCAGAGTTCCCTACGATGGCACATTGTTTGTAATGCTGGTTCTTCATGGGGGACACCGTCGGCAACAGTTGGTAGAGGTTCTCAGAGATGTTTGTGGTGCTCTGGCGGTCAAATATATAATGAATTACATCCCCCGGTTTAAAGGTGCTCTTAAGAATTGAGATGTCCCTCTCAGCATCCAGGAACCTCAAAATGTTTTTCCTGGAGGGAAAGTGAAAAATCATAAAGCTTTATGAGTGCTCAGGAAAAGACTATAGAAGTTTTAACAGGGAACCACATTATACATTCTTCAGAAATGCCATACTGGGCATTTGAAAAACATCGAGCCATACCTGATGAGGTTAGACAGGGTTCTGTTGAAAGTCCATTCGGGTGACGATGAATTGCAGGTTTTGCTCTTTATTCCTGGCAGTGGAATTGGAGAGGAGACTTTGCTCTTTCTATAGGTAACTAGAGAAGTAGGGACAGCATTCAGGACTGAATTTCTGAAGAAAAGAAAGATCATAACAGTGTGTTTATATGCACTTACCATAAATCAGTATTAGCAACTTAGACAAGGCTACAAATATAACATCTGATGTGTTTTGGTAAACCATGAAATGAATTCTCAAAACCCAGATGCAACAGTAATGCAGAAAAAACAAACAGATCTTGAGAACGTTTTAAATTATAACTGATATTATAGTTTTAGTCATTTAAAATCGAAATAAGTAACATGTAAAGAAACAGAAAATAGAATAAATTTACATTTTAAATCTCTTGCATTAGTTTTAGAGGGCTAAAACAAAACCACTTAAATATTTGGTTGGAAGCAACAATGACATTTTCTCTGGAAACATAAATCATAAACAATATAACAAATCAGTTTACAAACCTGTCGGACTGAAAGACAAAGCTTTTTAAGTGAAATCTCTGTGAATCCTCAATGTTCCTAAGAGGAGAAGGCAGAAAATATTCATCATCTTTATCCAGTAACATGACCATTAATAAAGCTCTGAAATCACATCAGTGAGTAGATAATTGAGGTAGAGGCAATTAGACCTCAGACTGGAACAAATACGCAAAATTGAATTGGGATGATGATCATTAATATTTAGCACCTTTATGCGAGCCATTCCACTTATATTAACTCTTTAGAATATTTTCATGGTACAAATCCAAGGACATGGCTATGTTTTAACCCTTGTTGTTGTTTATTAATCGTTTCATCAACTCATTACAACAATTATTTCAGCCATTACTAGCACAGAGGATGTTTAGAAGGAAGATTTACTACAACAACCAAAAGGAATTTCATGAAACTGTTTGAGGTGGTCAGATACATGTAAACAAATATGTTGGTCATTGTGAACTCCAATAGAAGCAGCAAAAAAAATAAAAAAATAATAATAATACTTGGAGGAATCACATTAACATAACAGCAAGGATAATAGCCGTTCACATACCTACTGGGTGACAATTGAAAACATTTAGGGCAGGATTGCATTGTATCCTTGAGCAAATCAGTCCTATTTGTCTACCATTCACGGCAATGTTCTCCATCTTTCCCCCAAAGTCATGGCTACGTGTATTATTAAGCAGACAGAGCACTGATCTCTTAAAATTCTGGGGAGCAGCTTCAAATGCAGATTTAATGGTGGTGTTGCTTCAAAGCGCTTATAATTGTTCTGAGAGATACCCCTTAGATCCCTTGTATGATACAACAATTTAGAATATAATTCCATAAATGATCAATCTTACCAATAACTTGAGCAAAAAATAGATCATAAGTGTCATCTAATGCCTTCTGACAGCTAGTAAACGAGGTGTGAAATTTCCAAATTGGGATTTGTCTCTGGGATATACTGGGTTAGCAAATATGAGGGAGAAAATATACCCTTTGCATGCTTAATGGATAAACTGTAATTAGTGCGGCAGAAACATGAAATAAAATATCACGGTACAGAGCAAACAAGCCAAATACTTTGCATAAAACGCCAAATAGCAACTCAAAGTATCTATTTAAAAATGAATGGCATGTCTTGGCGGCACACACTTGTTGTTTTCTCGTGCAATTATTCTTGCAATTAATCCATCAATGCACAAACATTCTTCTCACTCAAGAGCTTTAAAGTGTATGTCCCGAGACAGCAAGATTTGCAATTATGTAAGCCTGAGGATTTCTGCTTCAGGGTTCAATTATAGCGGAGGAAGGGCACACTGTTCATTTTTGTCTCCATACTGTAGCTTCAAAGCCACAAATCAAACAGTAATCCTCTAGATGCCACAAACCACAGATCAGACTGTCTTTTCACTTGCATGAATGGGTGCAAACGGAACACTCAAGAGTAGAACAAAACCACAGACCAACAGCCATCCGTCACAGAGCAGCAGGGTCAGCTGCATTTATCTGATGACTCCCATTCAAGGTTTCACACTCAGCAAAAGTCTGACTGACACATTTTGGAGATCAGCCAAGAATAAATAATAAGAAACTGTATGCATATTCAGCAAAACCAGTTCCAAAATGCATGCACTGATTGATCGCTCTGCTGATAACCAAATCTGAATGGATGAGAGATGAACCTAAAAGGGTTAGTTCACCCAAAAATAAAAAAAATCTTAGTTTTGAGTGGTTTAATCAAAGTCTTCTGAAAAGACACTCTCACACTTAACTATTTTAGGATCTTATTTACATACAGACATTGCAATACAAAGCATCCTTGAGAATCTGCAGGGCTCTATTCCCTAAACAATGTTTATGCTTTCAATGGAGGGACAGAAATCTCTGAGTTTTCATTAAAAATATCTTCATTTACATTCCAAATATGAACGAACGTCTTGTGGCAGGGGTGTCCAAACTCAGTCCTGGAGGGCCACTGTGCAGCAGAGTTTAGCTCCATCTCACCTGCCTGAAAGTTTCTAATATTTTAAGATCTTGATTAGCTGCTTCACTTGTGTTTAATTGGGGTTGGAGCTGAACTTTGCAGGACAGTGGTTCTCCGGGAGCAGGATTGGACACCCTTGCTTATGGGTTTGGAACAACATGAGGTTGTTGAGTAACTGATTTTGGGTGAACTAACCGTTTAAAGGCTTTAAAATATCAAACATCCCCTCCAGAATGTACAGAATCATCTATTAAATTGATGTGATATCAAACGAGGTGTTCCCTCAAATTAAAGTCCCACATGCACAGACTGAGCAGGCTTTGCAAACAATAGTCCTCGGGACAACACATTGTCTCCCTCCTTTGACTTAGACACAGTATTACACTGAAAAATACAGTTTAAAATGTATAGTCTGTGTTTTGGAACGTTCTAGCTGGTCTAAGCTGGTTGTTTGCTGGGCCAAAGTGGTTATTAACTGGTCCAAGCCAATCATTAGCAGGTCCAAGGTGGTCATTAAGTTGGCCCAATGTGCAAATTATCTCAGACTAGCAACAAATCAGCTCAGGGTGGTCAGGCTGGTTTTTGGAATACGCTAGCTGGTCAGACTACTGAACAGCTTAGACCAGGGGTTTTCAAACTGGGGTCCAGGGACCCTCCGGGGGACGCAAGACAGTGCTAGGGGGTCCTTGGAAATGTAAAAAAAAAGAAAAAAGAAGAAAAAGTAAAAATGTGTTTATTAATTCTTTTGAATTAAAATAAATTAAAAACGTGATTTCAATAAATAAAAACTTATTGAAATAAATAAAAATGTTTATTGAAATACACAAAAATAATAATATACCAGTACAATACTATAGCGAGTAGCCTAGAGGAGGGGAAAAACCTGGCTTAGACCACCTAATGATGACCAACTAAACCAGTTATTTTCCCCCCCAAAAAACCTGATTTTTCCAGACAAATAGGCTACGCAAAATAATTAGGTAAATAAAATACACAGTTATTTTCGATTTTCTCGTGTAGCCTATATTCAGACCAAGCCAACACAGCCCGAAGTCCTAAATGGACTGTCCATTGTTTGGGCTTCTACAAAGTCTCTCTTGAGAGAATCAAAGCACGGTGGACATGGGTCCTAAACAAAAACATCACATATAGGCTAAACATAGATAGAGTAGCCTACAGCTGTGCATAAAAAAAAGAGAAAGACAAAAAAAAAAAGAGAATGTTATATTAAGGCTAACTGTATTGTTTATTGTAGGTTAGTCGAATTTAAGGCTACTTACGCGATTTCTTCCTCCACTTCCGATATATCAGATATAATAACAAATATAACCAGGGCTGTCCCGATTCCAAACATCAGTATTCGGAATTCAAAAGACATGACTCGACCGCCGTGCGATTCTACAAATGCGTTGAACTATAAAGCGCAATAGAAATCTGTTCTTCTTTCACACTGGGTTCTTACGCAGGGCAACACATGTAATGTTCCTCCGTCTCTCCGTCTCCTGTCCTCGACAAAGCTGGACCCATTTCTAATAGTCCGTGCAGGTTAACGAACAGTTGTCTGCATTAAATCGGCTATCACGTCCATCAGCTTCTTCCACCTACGAAAGTAGTGAAAGGAGGGATACGACAAACGTGAACGTCCTTTCTTCTCTTCTACTCCTGCCGCTACTCAGAGATCTGGTTGGTGGCAGTTCCCTTGAAACTTTGCCTGCAAGGTGCATAAACTCACATATTATGTTATGCATTCAGATCAACTGCGTTCTTGGTAGGCTATATAGAGAGGCAGAGGCGTGCATTTAAAATTCAATATGAAATATGAATCCACCTCTCTGTCTTGCTCTCTTTGTTTCTATTTGACAAAGACTCACGTTTGGTTTTCTACGGTGAGGACTTTCTATTGACTTCTATATTAAGCTAATGGTCTCAATAAAATGGCTAATGGTTATTATAACATCTAATCCTACAACCGTGTCCTAACCAGGTGCGACGCGACACGGTTACAAGGCATTTGCCTGTCCACAATGAACCCGAAAACAGCTGCACGACGCGACATAATCAATCACAATCACAGCCAATCAGAACCGTTCTCTCCGTTTGAACGCTCTCTCACGCGGACTTTCATTTTATGATTTACTTTTTGGAACTTTAGGGATTTGTCAAATATAATATACAATATTTCTCAACTTACAGCCTTACCTTATTCGTGTTTGAGTTTTAAAGTCACCATGAAATCCACTTAGGCATTTTTTTAAATGGAATATTGCAGTAGGCTATTTATTATAAATTACTTATCTGTGAAGATCATATTATTATTTTTAATTTATGTGCCCTCTTAATGTTCAATCAAAATAACTTCCCCTCCTTCTTGCAAAAAACAACATCTCTTTTCTTCACTGATGACGTGTTTACTGATGTGAGGGCGGAATAACCTGTCAATCACATGAGATTACAGCAATAGCTAACGACAATGATCTAACGATCCGATCAAAAATCAAGTCCTGCCCAAAATTATTGTCTTCTTTTTTCCACTCGGATATATGTCAAAATAGGGAAGATCACGTCTGTTTCATGCTGTCTGGAGCGGTAATTTGGTCCAATGAGAATTCCGTGTGGGCAGGGCTACCAAGAAACTTTGTTCAGTGTATTTTCACAGGAGAAATCCAATCATTTCAATAGAAATCCATGCAATCCCAAATTTCATTTAAGGGGGAAGATGCAGATTTCGGGGTCCGGGGTCTAGAGATTGTCACGCGGATTCACCATCACACTGACCAATAGCTTGATTTGATAGTGACTTCTGTGTCCTTCAAATATAGTTATACTATTGAAAATAGACCATCAACCTCATTTGTCAGTGAAATTCTACAGATTTATTTTAACAGTGTTGCATAAAGCTTTTAAGACTTTAGCCGCATCCATTTTTTAAAATATGGTGGATATTGCTGTATGGAAACAATAGTTAGAGCAATGTGGTATTATATCTGAGCATCGCCTGTCATAGCTGGTTAGAAAACTAATTTACTTGCTGGAGGTCACAATGTCACTGTGCTAATGCGGTTTTGCTTTCATTGTGGGGACATTTGGTCATTTAACCCCGACTACAGCACACACACACACTGACAAAAGCACCTGCTGCTTCAGCCAACAGTCCTTTCATCCCAGATTTTGATCATCTCTGATTTAATTGGAAGGTAGTAAAATGTTTTTTTTTGGTCAGCTGGACATTTGATCTACAACCCTAACACAATTAGGCAGTATAATTGTTTTATAGCTAAGATTGACTGGCTATCATCATCACTTAGCACACCATATTTTATGGGAGGTATTCAAATTTGCTGTGTGCACCCAGCAGACATATAAAAAACGGACAAAATTTTACTTATGTGAAGAACATGGATGACAGTTTTCACGTCTTCCATTCTCAGGAATACACTGACACATCATTTCTAAACCTATAAATGAAGAAGCTTCTAGCACTGTGAAAGGTTTATGTTTATATCACTGTTTCCTGCCAGGTCTAACTCCCTCAATGCGTATGAAAATATGCTGCTTGTGTAGGCCAGTGTTAGTTAGTATTAGGTAATACTGATATAACAGTAAAGTGGGACACTGTGGGATGTTTATTCTATTTATGATGCATGTATGATTCAAATATGCATTCATTTATGATTCAAATATGCATCATACATCACTGTCATCCAATTTAGGGTGAACCTAATACTGTTTTTTACACATAATGATGGAAGAGTAAACTGAAAGGGTCCCACTTTACCTGTATTCAGCCTATTAACTGATAGTTGTATATGTCAGTTATCTCCAGTACCATTTTTCATCATAGATAGATAGATAGATGGATAGATAGATAGATAAAAGGAATCTTATTGGAATCATCCTGATACATGCATGTTCAGCGTGCTGCCAGAGATGACCTAGAAATGGTGATATCCATGGAGAAAAGAGTAAGGAAAGGGAAAAGGGGGTCATCTTTCTGCCATATTTTTAATTTGTCCGTACATTTGCTTCATAGGGAGTCTGTATGCTTGATGGGTTGTGAAAACCCTTTGACTAACATTTTGCTTATTATGTGTAATATATGTGTAGTGTAATATCTACTATCTGTCAGTGAAAATGCTAGTGAAGTGAAAGATTTGTATATATTTTAAGTCAAATTTCATGTAACTGTCTTAAAAGGTAACTTTCAAAATTGTTTGTAGGTCTTATTTTTTCTCTATCTCAGCAACTTGGAGCAGGCTCTTGAAGCAGTCGGAGAGTCAGCAGAGCTGCCTGCAAATAAATGAGCAACATTTCATGTCAGTGAGTCACAGCAGTTCTTGAATGCCTTGAGCCGATATATTTCATCTGCTGCAACATTAAGGTGGAAAATAATGCCCATATTCCATCAGCTCAGTGTGCCATTGCACCGGACCGAGCTTAGCTCCACAAATGCAACATGTATATCAAGTTATCCAATGGAAAATGACCATGCTCCATATCCAATCTGCTTCTTAGGATTTCATGAAGGCAAGTAATGGGTTTTTTGTAATGCTTTTAAATAATCTCCCCCTGCCTCCACACACAAACTGTTCAACGCTCCGCCACAGGGAAGGAAAATACTTTTAGATTTTTATTTATGTAAGATGGTATTTTGAAACAAAGAATAAGTTAAAAATGTTTGACACGTTTTCTTCACCTGAAAAATCTCTTTCTGCAGCGATTTGTTTAATTGCACAATATGGTGACATTAGTTAACCTGTTAGATTAGCTAACATGAACTAACACATTAAAACAATTCTGTGGAATTTATTATTATTAGTTCATGTTAATTTCAACATTTATTAATACATTACTAAAATTAAAAGTTGTATCAACATTAGGCTATGGATCTGAGCTAACATGAACTAATGTGAACAGTTGTAGTATTTTTATGGACCCTTTTCAAATTTCCTGGGATCTCAGAAGCTGAAGCGCCAGAGAAAGAGGCGTTAAACTCTTTAGAGTTTTGTGTTTGAAGCGTTTTTGCTGTAGCCATGTATTTTTCTATTGCATCGCTGTCGAGGAATAATTAGCTGGTGACGTGGATTTACTTATTGTAGAGTAAAAGAAAATTAGCATGAGCAATGTTTGAAACGGATGTCAATAGAGCATTCATAAATCAGTAAGAATTTTAGCCTGGTTAAAACCAGAGCATTCTCAGTTGTAACTGAGTTATGGTCTGGCAGAGCGTCATAGACAAATCATTTCCAGAGGGGCGTCACCAACGGACGTCGCGGATAGACCTAAACCCAATCAGAGCGATGAAGTAGATGACGTATGCAGAGCGGTGGAGAAACATCTCCGAGTGTTGTTCTTTGCTCGGTTTTTAACAAAAAGGAAACGTTCAAATCGCTTAAAACAGACGCGATAGCTGATTCGAATGAGTGATGTTCGACGGCGGCATCCATCTTTGTAATGTAGGATACAAAATCTGCTTCAAAATCCCAGCGCTGTCGTCATCGTGTAAAGCCCGCCCCGACGTTTCTGATTGGTGCCGTGATTTCGACGGATTGGAAATGGGCTTGAAGCTCTTTGCCAGACTAACTTTCAGAGCAAATCTAAATTTGCCGGAAGTTGTCTGGGGTTTCCCAGGCTAGTTAATAGTTATAATGGCCCCAAAAACACTTTTGAACAACTAAGACATGCTTAAAAATATATGAATGTCATAGCATTGCATACAGTCTGCAATTTTTTTTTTTATCTTAGACCTTTTCTCAGAAGTAGTTTTCCTGCGAAGATTAGTTCACCATAGATGTAGTTCATCAAGCATAGCTAAATTCCACAAAGCCTGCAAACTATCTTGAGTGTATCTTTTTGTTTTATTCAGTTATATTTTATTTAAAGGTTTCCTTGTCACTGTGTAATTATACATTTAAGTACTGAATAATAATAATTATCAACATAGAGTTAGGATTAAAGTTTGGTTTAGGGTTAGTTGCATGTAATTATGCATAATTTACTCTTATTACTACAGTAAATGTGTAATAACACACTGTAAAATAAAGTGTTGCCTTTTTACTCTTTATAATCCTACTTTTGTGAAATGTTTTGCATTTGTGAAAGTGTTACATTTAATGATTTTTACATACGAATGACATTTACATAAAACGAATGTCACTTGGTTTAATAATTGGGTTTATAGTCCACATTAGAAAACGATGTGCCAAGCCATAATCTAAGGTATCAGGGGCCGATTAAGAACATTTTAACTGATCTGTATCGGCTATCCTAAGCCCGATCCTTTATTTTACGTCAGCTGTCAGGCAGTTGTTATGAAGTGTGGCAGAATGCACCTTCAGTTGGGCTTGCCAACCACCATTAACCTAGCCTGGTTAAAACCAGACCATTCTCAGTTGTAACTGAGTTATGGTCTGGCAAAGCGTCATAGACAAATCATTTCCAGAGGGGCATCACCAACGGACGTCGCGGATAGACCTAAACCCATCAGAGCGATGAAGGAGATGACGTATGCAGAGCGGTGGAGAAACATCTCCGAGTGTTGTTCTTTGCTCAGTTTTTAACAAAAAGGAAACGTTCAAATCGCTTAAAACAGACGCGATAGCTGATTCGAACGAGTGATGTTCGACGGCGGCATCCATCTTTGTAATGTAGGCTACAAAATCCATAGATATCCATAATAAAGGCTAGAAGTCTCGTCCGCGCTGCTGTCCAATGGAGGTCGACGTCAGCACCATAGACAGTAAAAGGTCAGCACCTGGCGGCCATCTTGTCACAGGCAGCTCGCTCACTCGTAACATTGTGTTAATGGTGCATGTACTTTTTAAATAACCATAACTTGCTCAATTTTCTACTGATTTTCAAACGGTTTGGTTTGTTATAAACGTCAGAGATGTAGTTATGACA